CTTATCAATGATTCTTCTCATTCATACTAAAGAAGTCACTTGCCCAAAAGCATGTGTTTTGCTGAAAAAGAGGGATTTTATCTCACAGGAAACACCATTTCACTGCAGACCTCTGTACTTGCTATATCTTCCTGAGTTTCTCCCAGCCACACAGCCACAAATTTCCTTTCTCTTCTGACTCATCTCCAAACCTCTCTAGCTCATCTCTATTTCCAGATCTTCCCTTGAGTCTCTTCTCTACTTTTCTTATGTGGAACAAAGTAATTCTGTCTGAGCCCTTTCCAACTTATACATAGCTACCATTAAAAACTGTCTTAGATACCAAGACATCCACTGATTACCAGAAATTTCTCTCATCAGCAGGCAGGGGGCTATTTACTGAATAATTTTTATGTTCTTTACCTACATATATTTCTCAACCCACTGCAGTGTCTTCCTCACCCCACCCACTACAGTGTCTCTACCTCTTTGTAGTCTTTCCAGTTCATTTGAGAGTTACCAATGGATATTTCCCATGTGCTCACGAAGTGCCGTCAGTCACCAGGTGATATCCTTCATCTTCTTGTTTTTCTGTTTTAGCACCCTGTGGTATTTCCATCTGTTGTGGATACCTTTGATGCCTACATAGTTGAGTGAAGGGGTCTTGGCTCTGCCTCCAGGGATTACAGCCAAGTGCTTCCTTTTAGACGTAGCTGCCACTACCATAGCCCTCCTGATATTCTTGAACCCTGAAACTGCCAGAGCAGAGCCATCAAATATGATGCCTTTAGAATACAGAATGTGTTTCAAGAATATATCTAACATAATACATGCTGAATGACATTGTGTTCAGTATACAAGGTAGGAGAATGCTTTCTTGCCCCTTTTGCCATCATTGGGGTCTGTATGAATACTAGAGGAGTACTTGATGGTGTTTTTGAGAAATAAACTCTATTTTATATTATTTAATATTATTTTAGAGCAATATGTATAACAGGCAATAAGCCAAGGACTAAACATAGAAAATTCATCCGAAGTGTAACGTGAACAATCAGATTGGATGTTTGTTAGTGGATGGGAAAACCATACAGATGCATCTTTCCTTAACATTAGCTCTGTTTTAGAAGATCATAACGTGAATCCATGAAGGCCGTGGTTAAGAGGAGAAGAAGATCCATCTTAGTTATAGATGCCATGTTGTTCCTGTCCCCTCAATTTAAGAAATGCTTGCTTCCTATTTTCCCATACTGAGACATTGCTGGAGGCATTATAGCTTGGAGGGTTTTGAATGTGGGCCCCATATTTAGACGGATTGAGGATCAAATTCCTGCTCTGCTACGTAAGAGATCATAGATCTTGGGTAATTTACCTCTATGTGCTACAATTTTTCTTATCTGAAATAATAATACACAATTATGGGGGTGCTGTAAATGTTAAATGAGGAAATTAATTTGTTATGGGTTAGAAAATGTTATGCAGTATTATTGTAGCACGTTCTTATATCTAACCCATTCTTTAGAATAAATTTTGTTTCACCCCAATTTTAGGCAGACTCACCTGCCAAAATGCAACAGATGTGGCCGGTTATATAGTGGTCAGATACTAAGTAATTGAATTAGCTCATTCACTCATTCATTTGTTCTCTCATTCCTTCAACCAAAATGCATAGTAAGTGCTGGGAAATCAGTGATGAAAGAGCAGATTACTTTATGAGCTCACAGCTAGAGGGGGAGATAGACCAAAAAAGAAATAATTAGAAAAGCAGTGTGAGAAGTACCATTATGGAGATATGAAAAGAAGGTTATTGAAACACGTCAGAGAGAATCACTTATTGGGCCTGGAGAAATTAAGAAAGCTTCACAAAAGAAGTAACAAAGACTAGCTGTTAGGAGAGATTTAGGGCCATCAGGTTCCCATATAAATGGTGTTCCCTGTCTCACTGGAAATTTCTGGATGAGGCTAATGTTTACTAGGACTATTGTAGATAAGAGATCAGACACTTAAAGCATAAACCTCCCTATTTCAGAGCTCTAGTAATGGGGAAAAAAAAACAACACAAAGATACAGAGCTTTCAAGATCAAGCTGCCTCAGTCAGTATTCAACTGAATACAATTATTTAATTCTTTAGAATATTTTTTCCTGTTCTTGAGGTGTGACAGAGGAATTTTTTTTTTCTTTTTTAAATATAGCCTGTTTTTCAAATTCCTTCCTAAATTCTGAAGTCTCCTAAACTGCACCATTTCTGAATAGTCAGGAACAATGACCCACCATTAATGCCTTTGGTTAGGTTCAGGTCCTTGGAAGCTCACAATCTTTAGCATATCACGAGGAGCCTCAAATGCACCCAGTGTCTCCTCAACTGAAGTCCTAAAACATATGAGTTCATTGTACATGCCCCTCTGTTTTCCAGCTACTTAAAATTCATCTTAAGACATTTTTTTTCCAGAATGACATTAATACTTTCAGTGTCATGGTTTTTGTTTCTTTGTTTTTCTGGAAAAGAAATCAGTTTCTTTTACTGTCTCTCTGTCCTCTCTCCCTTTTTTTGTACTTGCATTTCAGCCGTCCTTTCTTGGTTATCTACTTTTCCCTCAGGAAATTGTGAATTCCTTCATTTCATTTGTTCAGATTGGAAAAGTTTATATGAACAAGCACATGTAGATTCACACACACACACACACACACACACACATCCCACCGAGGAACAGATTTTTAAATCTTGGCTGTTATAAAACACAGAAACACTTTAATAGAAACCTCACTACTCACTCTTGTGTCTTCTGCTGATTTTCAGCTATATTTAGTTTTTAACAAATCACTTACGGTGTTGGTTTTGGACTCTCTTCTTTCCAGGAATAATTTTCAAAGCAAGCATTGTTGGAAAATGTTCTTAGACAATCTGTGGCTTGCCATTTTACTTCATCCTTGTGGGCCCTTAAAAACTCTATTGCATGGGTTACCTGCCACTCTTTTTTGTTTCTTTCGTACAGAGGAAAGATTAAATCACTTTGGTGGTATGACCTCGCTTTTTAATCAGTTGTTTTACTTCTCAGTACCATCACTTGGTCTGCTTTACGACTGTGAATCAGTGCAGCTGGAGCCCTTTTGGAAGCCTTTTGCCTGGTTTGGAGCTTACAAGGACAGGCTTGGAATCAGTTGGCCAGAGTTTACACATTGGCACCATTCCTAGCTCGTATGTGGGTTGTGACCACTTCGGCATTCTGTGACTCAGTTTTCCTGTCAACAAAATGGGATTAAACATAATATCCATGTTTTGGGTTCATTAGGATAATTAAATGAGATCGTGTGCAAGGAGTATGTGCGTAGACCTGGAAAGTATTAAGCCCTTAATAAATGCCGTTGTTTTTATTGCACACGAGTGACAAGTCAGACAACAGAAGGAAGCTGCAGAGGCAGTTCAAGGACTTTATTGCTATGTTTGGTATTCTTTGTTTCCATTTCTCTAAGATCAGAAATTTGTTATTTGATATGGAAAAGACTGATTAATTTTGGAACAATTTTTTTTAAAAGATTTTATTTATTTATTTGACAGAGATCACAAGTAAGCAGAGAAGCAGGCAGAGAGAGGGGAGGAAGCAGGCTCCCTCTGAGCAGAGAGCCCGATGCGGGGCTCGATCCCAGGACTCTGGGATCATGACCTGAGCTGAAGGCAGAGGCTTTAACCCACTGAGCCACCCAGGCGCCCCTTGGAACAATTTTTTAATCTCTCAAGGAGATCATGGTTTTTTCTGGAATTTGTTTTGCCCTCTTCTCTAACGTTTCCCTACACACCAATCTCTAACCTTATTACCCTTTACCCATTGACCTGTACCCCGAGAACATTCAAGAGTCAACATCTGTGGCTTCTGTTTTTATATCGTGACTACAGTTGAGAAGCTCCATTCCTGAAAATCCCTCCCAGTTCTTGATGAAAGCCTCTGCTCATAATTCATGTTTTCTGCACGTACTTAGTAAAGAACTCAGTGCCATAACCTTAATTCTATAATTATCATCTATTCTTTGTGTTTTACTGATCCTTTTGTGTAAATGTTTACACTCTACATGTGGGAAATTACCTTTGGATAATTATTGTTTCTTACTTAATAGAAGCAGAGATTTAGCCCATACAGCTCTTTGCTGACCATTGACACACCTTATGTATATGTTTATTCTCAGAGTGTTTTCTGGTGCAGCCACAGGAGACATTATGGGGAACTTCCTTACCAGGGTTAAAGATAGCCATAGCAACACCAAAGAGGTCCTTGTGAAATCTAAGATTGGGATGTACCACAGGAATTAATAATTCTCTGGCCACTGTCTTAAATTGTAACCCTACTGTTTTTGTAAGGAAGTTGCTCAATTTATGTATATAGAGCACACAGAGCTATATTCTGATCAGGACACAGTTTCATTTAAAATCCTTATCTCAGGAAGTACTCAGCTTATTCTGCTCAATATGCACATGCTGTCTATATTCCTTTGAGTGACAAGTTATAATTTTTTTTTTTTTGCTAATTTGACCAATTTTCTCCAACTCCTTAAAGTCTAAGTGAATACAATGAGAGAATACCATCTCTAGAAATGGTTTTTAATATCTTTTTTTTCCAGAGTCAAGAATGATTTTTTAAAATTAATGTTTATACAGATTTATCCTTCACTAACAAAAATTATTTTACTGGACACCATGCCAATTTCTTCTTAGAGCTCTCCAATTAAATAGTAACTTAAAAACATACTGCTAGTTTGCTAGGTTTTAGTAGGTCAGCATGCACAGTGAAAGTGTATTAAGGTGGACTGCTCTATTTATTGATTTGCCCTGAATCTGCTGAAGGCTAGAGGCAATTGTCTGCAGAAGGGGCGGGAGAGCCATACATGATCGAGGTCATGCGCATCTAGCCAATTTGTAAGACGATCCGCTGCTCCAAGCCTTCAGCGATCCTTAGCATAGGGGCACACTCATGCATTCCTGTCAAGTCATCTTGTGAAAGGCTGCCTGCTTCCAGCTTGGCTTGGATGTGCAACCTTAATAAAACTCACTGAGGTCTGGGAGAAAATAGCAGATCTGCTGCAGATAGGGTAGGGGAAAGGGTCTAGAATATGTACACGCAGCTGATTCAGGCAAGCTCCACGCTGGACGGTTACACAGAGAGGAAACAATAAATCTCAGCTACTATGCAATAAATATCTCAAGTTTTAACTAAGGAAACTACCATTACAGTGAAATAAAAGAAATAACATTTTAGAGCAAAGCTAACAAATGGCTAGCTTTCTGTGATTCTTCTTCAAAAGCTTTCTTTGAGGGGGAAAAAGTCAAACAAACAAGCAGTTTTACCTAAAATAAAAACTAGTTTAAAGGTCAGAAGAAAGGAGCAGGTTTTGCGAGAGGCACGGAAAGAGAGTGCTGGCAGTACAATGACAGTTTTCCTTTCCTTTGCTTTCCTCGTTGCCATTCTGACTCACATAGGGTACAGCAACCAGCGCCGAGGTCCAGAAAACGGTGGGAGAAGATCTAACCGGATTCAGCATGGGCAGTGTGCCTACACTTTCATTCTTCCAGAACACGACGGGAACTGTCGTGAGAGTACGACAGACCAGTACAACACAAACGCTCTGCAGAGAGATGCTCCACACGTGGAACCGGATTTCTCTTCCCAGAAACTTCAACATCTGGAGCATGTGATGGAAAATTATACTCAGTGGCTACAAAAAGTAAGTGATTGCTTTCAGTTTCTAATTGCAGAGCCTTTTCCGTTCTTGCACCGCTGCTAACTTAGAGTTCCTTAGGGGGGCATTTGTGTGTTTACCTTTTGCTCCTGGGGGGCAGTGTTTGCAAATCCAAGCCTGTTCTCTCCCTGTGACTTCACGGGTGAGCCAACGCTTTCAGGCTTGTGCAAGCCTCTGAAGTTATGGTGGCAACCTATGATGTGCCTAGCAATGGCACATTTTTGGTTTCCTCTTACTTGAAATTGAGCTTGATTTTTCTGTCAAAGCCCAATGTTAAAAAAAAAAAAAAAAAGTACGTCTTGAGACCGTCAGTGAAAAAAGAAAATAATGACAATACTAGTTTAGAATCAGATAGATTTTACACTGGGAAATTTTCTGCAGCTAGGGTGAGAAATCATCACCAAATACCTTTTTTTTTCACCCTCTAGTAAAGTTAATATGAAATGGGAGTATATGTGAAGTATGATATGTGATTGGAGAAACTGTATATATATATAAAAGCAACTTAATTTTAGCACGTAGCAGAGTAGTAGAAGACAGATTTCTGTCATATACTTTTACCATCTTTGAGGGAAAAAATCAGGAAGGTAAATTTTAATGTGAACTCTTCAGGAAAAAGTTGTTTGCCGGGTGTGAAAGGGGAGATTGAGCTGGTGGTCACTGTTGCCAGATGTGCACCTGCAGATTTGAGCTGAGCACAACATGGGCTTTGCCATCTTCCTGAAATACCTCCTTTTTCAGGACATTGTAGTTACCAGCAGTGTCATGTGGGAGTCTAAGTATCCAGATGAATACTAATGTTGAGTATGCAGTTGATCCCCATTTGTAAAAATCAAAATGAACACTTTATTCAGTTTTTCTCAATAAAGCATTTAAAAGTTTCTGTTGAAAATATGTCTATTAAAATATGAACACACTTTGTGCAGTTCCTTCTCTCTTTGCTCTCTGTTTAATTGAGTAACAGGTAAACAGCAGATAACAAGTGTATTCAACTATGTCAGTGGAAAGGTGGCAATGTCACGTTTTTGAAAATTCTTTTCTCCCACGGATCTTTGCTTAAAATTCATTTGGTGCATATAGGTAGAAACATAGCCAGTCCAGTCTCCTTTAAGTAAGTCTGTTAACAGAGCAAACCCTTTGAGAAGATAAGGAGAGGACAAATGCTTTTATTTTTTCCCCTGTGTTGTCACACTTAACTTTGAGCATTGCCTGCTGAATCATGCCAAGTAGCAGTTATTCTACTTTTGTCCGCTAGGGACTGAACTAAGATCACTGATACTTTATTTGACAAATTAACTGAAACTCGGTAGAGTCAGTTTCTAAACCTGAAATTGTAGTTAATCTTTCTATTATAGACTCAGGTGAAAAAGATCAATAGGGACAGAAGAATAGGAAGCAAACATAATTCTGAAGTCTTTTGATAATTATAGTTTAAATTTCAGGCATAATTATAGCAGCAGTTTATAATAGGATATCTCTTTTCTTTGGCAATATTTATTTTCATAGTAAATAAATTAATTTGATCGAACAGTTTTTTACTATTGTCAATATACCATCCGTACAGCATTAATGAGAATTCAATCATTATAAATTAGTCTGGATTCTTTGAAGGGGCTGGGGAGAGAACTTTAGTCCTAAATTATCCTGAATGAACTAGTCTACCAAAAATGTAATATTTCGTTTACTTCAAACATATAGTCAAAATAGTGATTCAAGCATAGTAATGCATATTTTTTTGTTGCTATGCAATTATTCAGCAGCGATAGGGTAAATGTATGATTCTGTTGGGCTTATGTCATGCACATGTTCATATGTTAATTCATTGTATGACATAAATTTTATTTTTGTTTACATTGTTCTTGGTCAAATGATTATGGCATAGTTTTCAGATTATAGCCAAGCATAACTATGCAAATGTTCTTTGGTTACATTGACCCTTGCTAACGTGAATCTAGCTGATTATATGCTGAAAATGTCCCTGTTGGTATGAGTCAGAGCAGTTTGGCTTGACTATTGTCTGTTTAAATTTGCATATCTTTTGTTATTGTTAATGCGATTGGTAGGAGGATCAAGAAACCAAATAAATTCTTTCAGCAAAGAACTTGCTAAAAAGCTCTCTCAAGTTTCCCTTAATTAGAGGGTTTTTTTTTCTTACTTTAGGTTCTAAATTTCTTGTGATGTATTTATTTTGATAATTCAAATGGAAATCTTTTTACTGTAACTATTTGGTTTGCTTAGTCCTGCAAATTGTACTAATTTCTATTTTAATTCCAAATAGTTGTGTTAGGATAAAAAGCAATGCACTGCAGAAACTGAGGTTATCGGTATAATGCAGTTAATTCATCTATTCAGCAAAATAATTAATCAAAGCATGGTGATTATTATGCAGCTCATGGCATCACTCTCAGGAAAGTTTTTGGTGCAGCATGTGTGTTATCAATGCTAGATGCTGATAGATGATAGTTTATGTTAATCTGATACATTCCATGAAACTTGGTAAACTGGATTCTTTTACAAATATTTTTCATAAGATACAGACTTCACTAAAAGTCACTTTATGAGACTTACACTCTTGAATCTCATTTCTCAACTTTTCTGATCTTGCAACTAAACAAAATGAGAAGTAAAGTGTGTAAGGGGGCAAATGATGTGTTGGCCACTGTAAGTGTTGGGACTTATTACAGCACCTGTCTCTTGATATGATAGATTTCTTTCAAGGAGATCAACTTTGCATAGTAACCTGTCGATTAACACAAATTGTGAGTTAGGTTGATAGTATTATTCTCACTTATCAGATGGGGAAGAGGATTATAAATAATATGCTAAAAATCACCATTTTATTGGGTAGAACACCTGGGCTATCTGTCTACATTTGGCTCTCTTCAATCATACAGTTCTTTTCAGAATATTAGTTAAGTATACCCAATACCTCAGAGGGACCAGATATTAAGATAACAATAAGTACAAATGGCTTTTGTGTCTTTGCCACTTTCTTGTGATTCCTTTCTATCTTTCTATAGCAGAGAAATATCTAGTGGTTGATGTTACTTTAGATCCCATGCTTCTTGAATTATTTTCTTTCCCTTGTGTAGAAGAAATTCACAGATAAGTATATTTAAATACTCAGATTTAAGACATATAAATTCTAGAATTTGGGGCAATGCTTAGAAAGTCTTTTGCCTTTGGCAAATGATGTCTTTTTGTTATTGTTGAAAGTATAAATAAATTTAGTCAAAAACATGCCTTGTAACAGACAACAAAGGTCTATCTACTGTAAATATTTTACACTAACTAAAATTGATGAGTTGATGATTATTTGTAGAAAATGTGTTCTGAATTGTCATCCAGACTATTTTAAAGGATGAAAAATTTTTACTGAAATACTTGGGTAAATGTTTCTATTGACAGCATTTTTTTTTACTAACAACAACCTCTACTTATATTCTTTGTTTCAGAGAATTATGATGATCTTTATAAAACTCATGTATTACAGATATTAACCCATATAAATATCCACTAGAACGTGACCTCCATGAGACCAGTGACCTTTGTGTTTGTTTGCTGCCATATGCCCAGGGCCTTAAGCAGTGTATAGTCCATAGCAGACAGACAATAAATACCTGTTGAATGAACAAATAGATGCATTGTCTACATGTTACAGTCTCTAATTTACCATGTACTATTAACAGTTTGTTTTGGATATACAATTTACCTCCCTAAATAGATTATAAGTTATCATCTAGGCAAGTACTACATCCTGTAATTACTTTTGTCCTGATATTAATCAAAATGATGTTGCGTCTAGAGTAGGTGGTTGTTAGTTATCTAGATTGTACTTAGCCAGTGATCTAGGATCTCAAAAAGTTCTGTATTCACTCTATCTTGTCCACTTAATTATTCTTTAAGTGTCAGCTTTGTTGCCAGTTTCTCTAGGAAATATACATGTATTTCACTTCCCCTCCCAGGCTGAGCTCTCTGGTATTATCATAATAAGTTGCACGTATCATGTTCGTACTGCACTTCCATGTTATGTGGTTGTTGTCATTTTCGTTGTTTTGAATCCTGTTTTTCTACTTAGACTATGAGTCCCCTTGAGTGTAATGAATGTTTCTTTATCCATATATATCTGAAATGTTTATTGAGTGTTTGAACAATATCTCTGTTATCGTCATAATAAAAAAATAAAAGACATCAAGTGCTCAACTGTGTGGTGCTGGAATGAAATAATGAAAATTAAGAGACCTTGTAACTGCTTTTAGATGCTAAAATTTGCTTTAATCCTTCATGCTACGTTACTTGAGTGTCAGCTAGATGTGCCTTTGGGAGGAAAAATAATTTTGTGCTTCTAGACCAGTAGGTAACAAGTTACTGCACGCAATAATGACACATGTTTACATATAATATGTGCATATGTGGATCTAAGTAACTGGAAATAATTTCCCACCTGTGCATTGTTTTGGTGGCTGTGACCATGCAAAATAAAGCAGAGAGGATGTTCTATGTTTTATTTTTACATAATGGGGAGAAGAGGCTTCCTGAATGTGTGAAAAGAGCAGGCAATCGATAAGTATGTTTTTAAAAATTTGTCACTGAAGTTGAAGAAAATATGCATGTTTGATCCATACAATGCATGTTTGATCTATACATAGAGGTAGAAAAGAATGGCAGTTGCCAAGAAAGGTTAAAAGAGTAATTGCCTTTTAAATCCAGTTGTAGAAATGTCCCTACCAAGTTCATTTGAGATTAACCCTTGGTTTTCAAGCCAAATTGGAACTCTTTAGTTAATACCTCTTATTAACTTTTCAACGAATAGTTAGGTTTTATTTTTTGCTTGCTACATTTTAGAATCAAAAGATCCAAGAAGGCAGAGTAACCTTTCTGGGCCCTAGAAGGTGGGCAGTTGGAGCTATAACAGTCTTTTGGATTTCTCTGTAGGAAGGAGCAAGCCTCTCCCCAAACGATCTACAACTGGCAGATCTCAGGTT